ACGCCGATTCTGAGATATTAATCCTAAGGAATGCAATCTTGGATTGAAATAACTTATAAAGGATAACGTTGACCTCTGTATGAAAAGTCGGCCTCTGTGGCTTAGACGTTGTGCGCGCGCTTTGTAATGCCGAAGTGCCGGGTTCGATCCCAGCTGCAGGCCCTGCGCCTTGCGTTAGTTTTGACAGTGGTATCGAGAAGCCGACCCTCCAGTGGGCAGTGGCAAACTACTTGATGTACATTTGCATAGAAAAACCACAACAGCAAATGCTGGGGTTGGTTCTGCAACGTCCTGTAAAGGATACGCAACTAAATGTATGAAGAAAAAAAAAGAACAAGAAGAATGGATAAGAAAAGGAAGAAGAAAAAGAAGAAAACGAAACAGAAGGAAGAGGGTGAGTAGGAGAAGGAGGATATGAAGCAGAAGAACGGGATAAGAACAAACAGAAGAGAAGATGGATGATGAGGGAGATGACGAAAAAAAAAAAACCAGTAAAAAAGGACAACAAATGTATGATGAGATAGGGGAGAAGACTAAAAATGGGAGAAAAGTATGCAGCAGAATGCATTTGATATCTTCTTCTTCTTCAGCGATCTCTGGTCATGCGCATAATCCACTGTGGGTCATAAACTCGGATGTCTTTTCAAGGTCTCTTAGGTTTCCCCAAAGCTTAGTTGTCAGTTCTACTGGGTGTTGCCATATGTCGCTCCGCAGCTCCGCCAGGAGAGGACAGTCTTGCAGGACATGTTCTGGAGTCTGTTCAGCCCGAAGGCACTGGCAGAGAGCTGTTTGGCTCATACCTAATTTATGTGAGTGTTTATTGAGTCTGCAGTGTCCAGTGCGTAAGCGAAAAACTGTGACTTGGTCTGTTCTGTTCAAGTGTTTCAGAAAATCTTTTTCGTAGTTATAACCAGTGTTGGTTTTCCAATCTGTTTCTGATTTTCTCTTAATGAGAGTTTTGACTTCTGGAAAAGATAGTGGCTGATAGGTCTGTGGTTTGTTACTGCCTTCCTTGGCTAAAGCATCTGCGCTTTCATTGCCTTTGATGCCACAGTGAGACGGAATCCACTGCAAGTGAATTTCTGCCTTATTTGACAACATAGCAAGTTCCTGTGTTAGACTTGCATTTGATATAAATCCAGGTGTGGTTAAATTTGTTTATAATTATTTTTTTTACGGTCGTATATTTTAATAATAAAACCTAAAGTTTTTAACAGTGTTTTTGTTGCTCTTCTTCTTTTATGTGTATGTGTGTGAGTGTGTGTATGTGTTTTAGGAATAACTTTGCGACGTCATCATCATCATCATGTAGCAGGTCCTTTGCAGAACGTCGCTCTCCTCACAGTCTGCCTGTAAGAAACTCGGCCTCTTGCCAGTTCTCCCGCCTCATGAACTTTCACACTCAAGCAGTCAGTTATATCCTGTGTCCATCTTCGTGTCGGTCGGCCTCTGCCCCTCCTTCCTGGTACCATGCCTTCTGCTATAATTTTTTCCAATCCGTCGTGGCGCTTGATATGACCAAAATATTTCAGCTTTCGAGAAAGGATGCTGTTTATTAGCCAATCTTCCTTGATGTTCAGATCTTTTAAGATTTCAATATTTCTCATCTTCTTTGTCCAAGATATTCTGAGAATCTTTCTGTAGCATTTCAGCTCAAAAGCCCCTATTCTCTTTCTTAAGGACTGAGAGATAGTCCACGACTCACATCCGTATGTAGCCACAGGGAAGTTGCATGCTCTCAAAATTATAATTTATATCTCCTTGCTGGTGCTTAACCATAGACTTTTAAGGCTGGGACTTCATACCAAGCCAAATTATTTGCTCCTTTTCTTCTTCTTCTTCTTCTTCTTCTTCTTCTTCTTCTTCTTCTTCTTCTTCTTCTTCTTCTTCTTCTTCTTCTTCTTCTTCTTCTTCTTCTTCTTCTTCTTCTTCTTCTTCTTCTTCTTCTTCTTCTACTTCTTCTTCTTCTTCCTTCCTTCCTTCCTTTCTCTTCTTCTTCTTCTTCTTCTTCTTCTTCTTCTTCTTCTTCTTCTTCTTCTTCTTCTTCTTCTTCTTCTTCTTCTTCTTCTTCTTCTTCTTCTTCTTCTTCTTCTTCTTCTTCTTCTTCTTCTTCTTCTTCTTCTTCTTCTTCGGAGAGATACATTTTTAGGGGTGGGCTGGACTCCCAAATTCCCTACAGAAAATTGGCAATAGGGTTAAATACCCCGTCAACCAATTGTAAAAGTTCTCTAGTCAAATATTTGTTTACATATTTCACTGTGTTGGGAAATGAGCAGGCAGATAGACTGGCCGGTTCTGCACCACCTAGTTGTGAACTGATGTATGACAAGCTAGATGTTGTGAGGGAGCGAGTGAACAGTGCCGAGGAGCAGATAGATCATTAGGGTCTGAGGAGAATGGCGCTGCGAGGAGTTGCCAGGGAATCTGGCCCCTGTTGAGCACTCGAGGGAAAGGCGCGACGGATATATAGTTAAACAGTTACTGGTGCCATTGGAATTGGAACTCTTCGTTTGCTGCTGAAGATGGGATCGGAGTGCTTATGGTAGTGTCCCGAGTGTTATGATGTCGATTCTCAATTTAGCATTCAACATTTTTTTTACACATTGTGTGTGTGTGTGTGCGTGTGTGTGTGTGTGTGTGTAACATTTGTATCCATTAAGAAAATTATAATAACAATGATTATTACTATTATTATTGCGAACTGAAACAACATAGCCGCCTTGGTGAAGCGACGAAAAGCTTATTTGCTGGTCTGAAAGTCGTGAGTTCAAGTCCGCATCGAGTCAGATTTATTTTCAGGCATCACCCTGACTAAAATGGGTCCCAAGTAAAGACCTGTGAAGTAAAGGAGGCCGGCGTGAAGTTGTCACTATCACCCCCTCCCCTTTACCCACATCATCTGGTGTTGATTGTTCTATACAATATAAGTCCAGAACTATATACCCAATACACCAAACGGTCTATAAAATTTAAGTCCAGAACTATATACCCTATACACCAAACAGTCTATAAAATATAAGTCCAGAACTATATACCCTATACACCAAACGGTCTATAAAATTTAAGTCCAGAACTATATACCCTATACACCAAACGGTCTGTAAAATTTAAGTCCAGAACTATATACCCTATACACCAAACAGTCTATAAAATATAAGTCCAGAACTATATACCCTATACACCAAACGGTCTGTAAAATATAAGTCCAGAACTATATACCCTATACACCAAACGGTCTGTAAAATTTAAGTCCAGAACTATATACCCTATATACCAAACGGTCTGTAAAATTTAAGTCCAGAACTATATACCAAATACACCAAACGGTCTGTAAAATTTATGTCCAGAACTATATACCAAATACATCAAACGGTCTATAAAATTTAAGTCCAGAACTATATACCCTATACACCAAACGGTCTATAAAATTTAAGTCCAGAACTAGGCCTATATACCAAATACACCAAACCGTCTATAAAATTTAAGTCCAGAACTATTTACCAAATACACCAAACGGTCTGTAAAATATATGTCCAGAACTATATACCAAATACACCAAACGGCGTGAAAAAAATGGCCTATAGCTTCACACACAAACAAGGTGAAGTCCCTAGAGTGTGCCATCTGCACTCTAATAAATGTATTAGAGTGCTGAAACCCAGGGCTGGACCAAAGCCGTCTTCACAACTACAGTCCGTCATGGCTGGACTTTTAAGGGGACTGAGGGTCTCGAGGCATGGCGTCCGCCTCGAGCGCTGGAGGTCCCAGGTTCAGGCCCTGGTGAAGGATTGGATTTTTGTATGTGGACTTCGACTTCTAGTAATTTCCCCTTGTCTTGGATAGTAAGATCTGACGCTCGTGTATATTGCTGCGCACGTAAAAAAAAATCCCTTGGCAGTTGGAAATCGAAAAGAGCATCATAACGCCGCTGCCCAGGAAAAATGTGTGGTTAAAAATCTACCCAAAGTATTTTAGGATCCTCGCTGGTGCTACGGAGTTCGTGCACTGCGCTGAGATTCGCCGGACTCAGGCTTGAATTAGAAGCAAAACAGAACACTAATGGGTTACTACCCTTGTGCCATGATGTTGAACCATTGTACAATTTGTATAAACCAAACAATAAACTAAAGGCTGGACTCAACACTTGATCACGCATTGAGCTCGATAAAATAAAGACCCGAACCTCCTATCGTTTTAAATTGCCCCACCTAATTTTATGAAACTTAAAAACATATGGATGCGCCTTTTAAACATATGAAAGCACATAGGGCTGAAGAATTGGCTATACAAAGAAAGGCTTAATTGATAGGGAACTTGAGGCAAGATGTCAAAAGGCGAACGCAGTAACTTACCAACTCTCCCCACTGCATCACCCAAGCATCACTATGGCACTAAAACGACAACTGATAAATTGCATGTTTATACCAACCCTCTGCTACCAATGCCAAACCTGGTCCCTAACAAGAGCACGGGAGAAAAAGATCACGACGTGCGAAATGAGATGCTTACGTAAGGCTGCCAATGTCATAAGGAGAGACAGAGTTCGAAACGAGAACATTAGAGCAATTGTAGGAACCACACCATGCCTGCAATACATAAAGAAGCAACAAATAGAGTGGTTTGGCCACTTGATGCGAATGCAAACCGACCAACTGCCTCTACGAGCATACAACGAACAGCACTACTGCCCTAGAGCAAGAGGCAGACCGAGAGTACTATGGATAGACAATATATCAGAGATCCTGAGGCAACACGGACTAACAACAACACGTGCAACACACCTGGCCCAGGATAGAAAACTGCGACTCCCCACTACGCTGTGAGGCAATTATGGACAAGACAAGACAAGACTGCCAAGAAAGGCTTTCCTACGCGCTTGACTTGCGGTTTGTTAATTATAATAGTTCGAAAACTTTCAGAGACGAAGATCAATATGGTCAAATATCCGGTTTCGGATAAAGCGGTTACTTATAACTGAATTATAAACAAAAAACGCTGCCATGGCCATTCCAGCGCTAGGTATCAAAAGACTGGAAGACGATTTACCAAATACTGACGACGACAGTGGTGGTAACAGGTGAGTTGTGTTATAAAATGTGCTGTAACATTGGCAAATAAAGTAAAAACTCAAGGACTCCCACCCTGGACTTCACTATTGACTATACTATACTATACACTAGTAATACTAATATAGTACTACTAGTACTACTAGTAACTAGTAGTAGTAGTACATTTATTTGCATTGTTGTCTTGAGACTTAGTGTCAAGTGACTTGAGTATGCTTTGATTTGTTTTGATATTTCCGGTCGACTTTCGCTTTCGTGGCCACCCTGTTTTTTGTTTTAAACATGAACTTTACAGTAAAAAAATGTATCGCTCACAGCAGTATTCTCACAGTAAAGTTTACTGTGAGAATACAGCTGTGAGCGATACATTTTTTATATTTGATTGGTATACAGTAAGTGTGTGACAGAGATACTGTTATAGTTATACAATTTATGATTATTTTTTTTTAAATCGACCTTTTGTCAGTCTGCAACAATCAAAAGGATATATAATATCGGACATCTTATTTTGAGAATACAGAATGGACAGAGGAAGGCAGTCACTGCAGCTACTGGCTGGCTTCAAAACCAGCTGCACCCACACTACACAAAACTAGACCCAATCAACAAAGCATGCTGAATGGGGTCTAGAGCAGTGGTTGCCTCCCCCCCCCCCCCCCACAAGTATATAATAATATCTCAAGACCGCCTGCATCCCCCATGAGTATATGACAAAACCCCCGTGCCCCTCATGAGGCGGAGTCTAAGACTCACACCCCCCATGGGAGACACTGGAAGAGAGGTTTATAGACATATGGCTGGCCCTTATCCTAATGACATCATTAACCATTTAACAAGAAGGGACCAGGCCACCATCTTCAGACTTAGAACGCAACATACTCCACTCAATGGACATCTAAACAGAATACAGCCACAACACTCCCCAGAGTGCCAGCTATGTAACACTACCCCTACGAAACTGTTGAACACCATCTCTTTGAGTGCCCAAAACTCAGTGAGACAAGAAGAACGCTACTCCCTCCCAGACCAGACAAGTGGAACACCTTGTACGGAGGAAAAGAACAGCTTGTGAAAACATGCAAATTCCACTACATGGCATTGGGCCAAAGGGCGAAAGCTCATGCGCCGCTGGATCGATAACAACAACAACACACCCCCCACACGTCATCTGTGCAGTTAATTAAAAAGGGGAGGACGTTGGGTTCCACAGCAAGGGAAAAAAGACACTATGAAGATACATTTTGGTCAGTTCTTATTATACAAACCGCTTATGAAAACAATGTTTTGGGTTTATAACGTTTACAAATGTTTTTTTGTTTTTTTAATTCAATTATTATGTTTTTTAATAATTAAACTGAAAAAATAATATAAGGGAGTATTACAAATCCAGATGCACTCATTTTCAAAATTGCTTAAAACCATGCTTCATGCAGAGTGGCAAGCATCCAGATCCAAGCAGCAGAGGTCCAGGTTTTGTCACACTAAGCTGTCAAGAAAAGACATCTTTGTGTTTCAGGAGATCTACCACTCTGCATGGAGCATATTTATTCGTTCGTTCCTCGCTGTTCACTTGCTTCCAAAGGGCCCTCGCCACATCTAGCTTGTCATACAAGTGGTGCAGAACTGGCCAGTCTATCTGCGTGCTCATTTCCCAACACACCAGCAAATATCCAAAGGACGCTAATTACCCTATCAGTAACGCTAACAGTAAGAAAAAGATAAAGCAACCAAGACTTTTATCTAACCTATGAATATGACATATCTTCTTCTTCAGAATTCCGAGCCCTTGAGGTTCATTACTGCAGATATCACCCGCCTCCATTCATCTCTCTGGATAGCTTTCTCTTTCCAGTTGGTAACACCAAGTGTTTGTCTGGACGTTATCTCTCCATCGTCTTCTTGGTCTGCCTCGTGGTCTACGACCATTCATTTCCCTGTAGCATACAGTTTTTACTTCTCTGTCATCTGAAATTCTTTCAATATGCCCCAACCATTTCAGTCTATTAGCTTTTGTGATGGCAGTGTGAAAATGACATATGCCAGTGAAAATTGGAGAACCATTAGAGATATGGAACGAAAGTTGAATACTTTTGAAAACAAATGACTGAAGACAATTTTGAACATAAAATGGAAAAAATTTGAGAGTGCAAAAATAACAGAGATCAGGGCAACCATTAGTGTAAACAGTTATAAGGGGGGGGGGGCATCTTGCTGATAGGCGTTACGGCCCTAGCCCCTTCCCCAGCACGAGGACGCCACTAAGGTGACCGTTAAAAAACCCTCACTGCTTCCAGTCAAAATAGACGCTAGGCACGGTCACTCTTATGAGCCTTGGCAAAATATGTTTGCTTCTGCGCTACGGTGGCCATTGCATTTTTGCTCCATTTGTAGACTGAAAGGATAGTTTCGTTGCCCAGCTTCTGAGTTGAGTGCATGGTGTGACACTTTGAGTTGCTGAGTTCATTTGGAAGGTTTTTTTTACTTGACCAACGTGGTGGTGTGAATTGTTGATTCAGAAAATGACACGATGCCTGTTGTGGCAATATTGGTGGTGCCATTATGTGATTAAAATTGATCGTGTGTGCAACTGCTGATCTGTTGGTAACTTCTGCTATCATCCATGATGAACTGCATTTCTAATGTTGGACTGTTTGTGTTAGCACTTCAGATAGCTACCGTATGCTTTTAATTTGTGTGTATGCTAGATATGCTGAGACAGCAGTCTGTCAGTCTTTCCACAAGGGACTGTGATAAACATCCTGTGTATTTTTCGTTGGCACAGGAGCAACTATGGGGTGACCCGTTTGCTATGAAGCTGAAACTAAGATTACCAGATCACCAGTTATAATGCAGAGAAGATGGCGCTATATTGGACACATTCTGGGAAGAGACGAAAAGAGAATCACCAAACAGGCACTGAAATGGGAAATTGAGGGATCGAGAAAACGTGGACATCTAAGAGAAACCGCGAATTTTGATAAGAAAGGTCAAAGGTGCTGGTCTGGATTCCATCCGTGGTACCAAACTGATTGCAACATGGAATAAAGAGATAGACTGTGAGACATCATCATCATGGGCCCTGTCATCTGGTGTAGGCGCTGATGTGTCTCCACTGATCATGATCCATGGTTGCATGGAACAGCTCTCTTGATTATATCCACCCATGCCATCATTTCAGCCCTTCCAGCATCATCTCTCTTGGTCTACCTCAACCCCTTTTTCCACTGATCTTTATAGTTTTCATAATGTTCTTCAATGTCTCTCATCTCATTATGTGGCCAAAGAACAGTGTTTGTCTCTTTCCTGTTGTTTGTATATTGATATCTACTTTCATTAGCTTCTTTCAATCAATCGTTGTTAGTTACTCTGGCCGTCCAAGTTATTCGTAACTTTAGTCTCAGAAACCACATCTCTGTTGCTTCCAAATTCTTCCTTATTTAACATTCCAAGATTCACTGCCATACAGCAAAACAGGTTCTATGTAATATTTTAGGACCCTCTTTCTGACATTAAATGAGAGCGATTTATTGCATAAGATATTTTTCATTTTCTGAAATGCAGCTTTTGCTTGACCTATTCTGCTTTTAATCTCTGTCACACATTTTCCATCTGATGATATGATTGTTCCTTGGTATTTGAATTTATTGACTTACTTCAAGACATATGTGACATAAAATGGCACAACAGACAAGATATGAATGGAATGTGTTAAGGGTATTATTATTGAAAATACCCCTCGAGAGAAAGATTTCAAATGTATATAACTTCTTTTGCACTCACACTTAAAGGGCAGCTAATATATTAGGTTGTTGTTTGAATGTTCGTTCACTTGAAGTTTACAGCCGAATGAATGTTGAATTAAGAATCTTCATCACAACACATCAGAAGAAGGAATAGATTCACCCACATTAAATTAACTACTTTTTGCCGATACCATTAAATGTTCTACCCTGAAGAAGATAGACTGCAAGACCACATTAACAGGTTAAACGCAGCATGCAGTAAATACATCATGAAGATCAGTACAAATAAAATTGAAACAATACAAGTTAGTAGAACCCCTGACCCACTACACATACAGCTGAATGGTTCTGGTTTGAATCAAGTTAGGGAGTTTAAATATCTAGGAAATATGATCACGGAAGTTAGCAGAATGGAAAGAGTAATATAAACCAGATGTCAGAAAGCAAGTGCACTTGTATACCAATTGTTACCATTATTAAGACATTCAAACATGACTATGAGTGCAAGGAGACACATCATAAACAGCATATTCATTCCAACATTAAGCTACCAGTGCAAAACAGAAAAGCAGCCAACATTCCAAGATCGAGTGTATAATGATACTATCAGACGAATTATGGGAACGTCACCTTGTACTAGATTCATCAAGAAACAGCAGATCAAGTGGTTTGGCCATCTTGTTAGAATGCAGCAAGATTAAATACCATCACAAGCACTACATCTCAGAAGATCAGCTACACAAGCAAGAGGACGGCCGCGGAAAACATAGATCGACAGCATTAAAGACATGCTACACCTTTACGGCATGACAATAGCCAGTGGCAGCCAACCTGCACTGGATCACAAATTATTCCTTTACATGACACTTAACGGCTGAAGTGGTTTATTATGATGATCACAGTACTCAGGAAACTCTCATAAGCGATCCATCCCTATCTTCAGCAGCAGACAAAGAGTTTCGATTTCACAAGAAATTGTCTGACTGTATATCCGTATCGCCTTACCCTTAAGTGTTGAGTGTCATCCAGATCCCCTGGTAACTCCTTGCAGTGCCATTCTCCTCAGACCGCGGTGATCTGTTTGTACCAGCGCGCTGTTCACTCTCTCCTAAAGAACCCTTTCAGCATCTAGCTAGCCAAGCATCCATTTGCCATGTAGTGGTGCAGAACCAATCAGTCTGTCTGCCTGTTAATTTCCCAGCACACCGGCACAGCAACTGGAGATTATATCCAATGGATGCTATCTACCCGGGACCTCTGGAATGATGCTTGCCACTCTGCAAGGAGTATACCTATCCCCACTTTTCTCAGCATACTCTGTGAGTCAGTTACAATTGCAACATGTGTGTACAGCTGCTTCTCAAGCCAGCGGAAGGCAGCAGTCACTGCCTCTGTGTCTGTTCTCAAATAAGTTTACAGCTAAGCTGCAATATCTGCACCTTTCCTCCCAACATATCAAATTTTAGCAAATCTTTAATTGATTGCTTTTTACCTTCTTCTTCTTCATTCATGTTCACCAGATTATTATGGCCTGGAGAGAATGAGGCACTTGGGTGTAAATAGAGGGTCTGGCTGGCTCACTACACTCAGAGGAAAGGCAAGACGGACATATACCCAAATTGTGACCGGTACCATCAGTGTTGGAACTCTGCACTGGCTGCTGAAGATGAGGATAGAGCAAGCATGGAAATGCCCTGAGTGCTGTGATGTCAATTGTGGACTAAACTCGACTCATGTTCACTGGCTGTAAACTTCCAACAGAAAGTTCTGCATGTTCATCCACCTCTGAACTTTAGTTTTGTTCTGTTACCATACCCATTTTACAGATCTGACATTTTGTGTGTGCAGACTGTTGGTTCCTTGCTTCTCAGGGAGATGTACTCTGTCTTCGAAGAAAGCACCCAATTAGTTGACTCTTACGACTTGCTTGGTGAGACAGTGGGTCTATTCTTGTTTGCACCACACAAATCCGCCTTGGAACCGGCATGGAAGGTCGCTTTTTATGATTTGCTTATTAGGGAGTAGTGTCTATATGTGTTCCCCTAAACTAGGACTCCACAATGGGTTGATTGAAGAATAACAGTAGCACAAGTGGCGGGACTAGTTTCGTATGCAGTAGTCCATGATGAGTTAGGGTACCGTAAAGTTGGTACGTGTTGGGTACCCAGAGGATGAGGTTCAGCAGGCGGTGTAGCCATGGCTTCATGAGCAACTGAAAATCGTCTTACTGGATGGAATACAGAAGCTGATTGCATGATACTAGCTGTGCACTTCCACTGCAGAGAGCATCTGTTCTTCTTTTCTTTACTCTGCAATGCCGTGTGGTGCCCGGGCAGAAAGTGATCTCTAGAACGGGCGCTTCTGTTCACTTCGTATATAGTACCTTTCAGTGTCTCCAATATTTCTGCGGTCCATATTCTGCATGGTCGACTTCTGGCTCTGTTACCGTTGTATCAGTATAACATTTCTGTCTGTGGTGCCCTGTCTGCTGCCAATCTTGTTACATGACCAAACCATTTGATTTATTATCTACCTTTAATGTTCAGTATTGGTTGTGCGCTGACTCTTCTCCTATCATCGTTCCTAAGTCGATCTTTCCTTGTTACATCTAGCATTGTACGTAAATATTTCGTTCATGAAGATATTTGGGAGTGAGAGAACAGTGCGGAGGCGCAGATAGATCATTGTGGTCTAGGGAGAATGGCGCTGCGAGGAGTTAACCAGGGGGGGGGGGGTCTGGCCGATGCCCAATACTCAGGGGGGTCAGATGGATATACAGTCAGACTGTTACTGGTACAATCAGAATTAGGACTCTTGGCTCACTGCTAAAAATAGGGACTGAGCACTTATGGGAGTGTCAAGAGTGCTGTGGTGTCGATTCTTAATTCAAGATTCAACATTCGTACAGATATTATGTAATAAATGCCTTCACTTTTTTGATCGACCCTCTCTTATAACAAGATATACTTTTTTTGTTTGTTCTCTAGCCCGAGTACATCTGACACAACAAAGCCCCAAAGTAAAATCGCCAGACGTAAGGCCAGTGATGGTGATTTTAAATACAACTGCGAATGGATTGGCTGTAATCACATCGCATCTGGTATGAATGAATTCAATCATCATGTATCCTTACATAGACGAGGATACACCCTGTGTCTGGGTAGAGATCATGAAATTGGTTCAGGTAAGGTTTTATGTTTTTGTGGCCATAGTTTTTGTGTGTGTATGCCATGATAACTTGTTTACAAGAATCCTTCCTAAGAGAATTCATTCTGTTTGCCCGCATGCACAAATGTTTAACTCTTTGAGTCCCAGGGTGTTAAACATCACAGGCCCAGGTGGTAGTTAAGAGAGTAATAAAATTGGCGCACCATGCGTTCATTGGGCTTCTAGGTAGGAACCTATGAACGTATGATGCGTTCCTTGGGACTCAAAGAGTTAATAGGTCGGCCAATGACTATACTCACTAAATATAACTTTTGTGGGTTAATTTATGTGATAAACTGGCTTTATTTTTAGAAATTACAATTTCCCATTGGCCACAGTGGAATCCTGCAACTGGGTCACATGGTCACAAATGGGTTGCGGATATACATTATTTTTTTTTTTAAATCCAGAAACCATGAGTTCTTAACCCTTTGGCTCGGTACTATGGATATCGCAAACCTTTTGCCTTGATTCCATGATAAATACCGTAAATCTGGGAGAAATGTGGCTTTTCTGCCTACCCCTGGGCGTGAACCTGGACCACAAAGAGTTTATCACCCAGTCATCATGAAGTCAGGTTTAGCCAACTAGGCTAGCGAGCCGGGCATACATTATTTTAACTTGAGGAAGATGTAACCCAATTAGTTCTATACTGCTTTCATTTATCACTGATTGCTGCATTTCATCATTGCATAATTTTTATTTGATTCAAGAACTGACATGACATCACTCGGGGCATTCCCATAAGCGCTGCGTCCCAATCTTCAGCATCCAGGGAAGAGTTCCGATACTAATGGTGCCAGTAGCATTCTGATTAAACGTCCGTCTTGCCTTTCCTCTGAGCATCGAGCATCTGCCAGAATCTCGCACTTCCCGCTGCATCAATCTCACCAGACTGGTGATCTGTCTATCTGTACACTTTCTCCCACAAGGCATTAACCACGTCTGCTTTATCATGTATCAGTATTCCACCAAGTAGTGCAGAGCCAGCCAGTCTGTCCGTCTGTTAATTTCCCAACACCCCGGTGAAAAAATCCAGACAGTGCTTAATTACTGTTATGTCCAAAAATGGATTTAAGGTTTTTTTTGTGTGTGAACTGTAAAATTGTATGTTTTTTGTTTTTTCAATTAATCTTTTTTTCTTCGGGAAAACCCGAAATTAAAAAAATAAATAGCGTCTTTAGCATTGTTTTTTTTCCCTAGGTCAAAGGGGCAAAAGGGTTGAGATTTAATGTCAAGTATCCAGTGCAATCTGCATAAATTATAAACAATAGTTTGTGTGTGTGTGTGTGTGTGTGTGCGCCTCTGACAGAAAAAAAAATTGATCTGCTCTTGCTGAGGTTTGAACCCAGATCCCCCATACAAGTGCCTAGTGCTCTAACAAGTCAGCTTGCCATCTCTTTACAAACACTTTGATTAAAAAAATAAACAGCTGTGCAGTGCTGAAATACTTGACAATGTTTTTATTCAGATAATTGCATTTCCAATTTCATAGCGAATGGGTCACGCCATATTTGCTGTGTTCCTCTGACAATGAAAACCACACTGGATGTCAGTCATTTCTTTTGAGAAAAAAGTTTGCAGTCTTAGCAAATCCATCAGCATACACACACACATTAAATACATTAGGAAGAAGTCGGAAATGCTACCACAAACAGTCCAACACTCGAAATGCAATTCATCATCAATGGAAGCAGTAATTACGGCAGATCCGTAGTTGCACATGCCAATAATTGCATAAGGCACCACGTTCTCAGTTAACAAGCCACTCATCATATTCAGAATGTGCAGTTTACAACACAGACCACATTGGGGGCAGTCAACAAAGCATTCCAAATGAAATCCACAGCTCAGGTGTCGTGCCATGCATTCAGCTGAGTAGCTGTGTGGCGAAGGAAAATGTCACAGCTAAAAACAGTAAACCGGCCTATCTACTACAGTGACAGGAAGCCATTACAGTTTTTAAAATGGTTGATGATGTTCATGCCCTGGTACTATCTGCCACACTAAAATGTTACAACGGGTATAGAGCGAGTGGAAGACCTCGGAAAATATAGTCATGGCATTAAGAACAGCCTTACAGAAATGAACATCAGTCTTAATAGTGCTCTTGACAGAGCTCATCAACGAACATTACATCTCCCCCCGACACTTCAATTAGGTACAAAGTGGAAGAGAAGAAGAAGAAGAAGAAGATGATGTTCATTACCCTATTGTTACACTTGTTCTCCCATTAGCTGAATTCCGGTTCTACTGCCAGTGGCAGGATTGTAATGCCCAGATTGAGGGACAGGTTGACGATTTCTCCCGGCACGTCTTCTACCACACATTTCATCAGTACCTCAAGTATCTGGGTCAGCATGTTCAAACTGTGGAGAAGTTGGACAAGTGTCTCCTGGACACTGCGTCTCGTAACATCATCCCAGAGTTGCCAGAAAAGCTCATGTGTCGCTGGCATGACTGTGGAGTAAGTTGTGTTATTTTGACAGTTTATTCATTTTTATTTATTTTATTTGGGTTGTTTATTTGTAACTCTCCTCATGTGGGTTCCGGGGTCCCATCATGGTGGAAACAAAGAAGAAACCCATAGCACCCCTAACAAGCATGGCGTAAACGGGGACTAATAGGGGTATTTCCCATGTGGGTTCCGGGACATTGGGGAGAGGGGGAGGGGGTGGGTTAACAAGAAAGGACCCACTGCCTGCCTAAGTATGTTGAAAGAGTCGACTAATTAGGGGTGTGTCCTTTGAAGTCAGAGTGCATCTGCCTGACAGGCACTGAACCAACAACCTGCATAAAAATAAGCCAGATGGGTAAAACGTTAATACATGCAAAACTCAAAGTTCTTGACAAGACCAAAGTCCAGAAGCGGACAAACAACCGGAACTTTTTGCCCAAGTTTACAGCCAGTGAAAGTTAAGCAGAAGAAGACGAGTTTTTATTTGTAGAATTTTACTCATTCTTTTTACAAGGTCCGACAATTGGGTAATGAGACTGATTTTATTATGGCCAAGAAAAAAATGTCATTTATGAAGCAAAGCATGGAATGTAAAGAAGCAACATTCATCTATGATCTAGCAACTTTTCATAGCTGCTCGATAAGCAGACAACAGACGACCCATTCTTAGTTCAGTTGTTCCTTAGAGGTCATCCTACAGCAACTTTGTCTGTCTTTCTAGGCCAATGCTGAGAGTGCTTTTCACCTTTGTTTCTTCCTTCCGTAATTTATAAGTATATTAGCCTACAATAGTTCCTGTACTAGCTTGGCACACACCCACGTCTTTGTTTTCGACTCTTGAGTCAATGTCCTCAGGGCTGCTATATTACACTTTGTAGCGACCTTCTTATTCTCGAGCGACTCTATACCTTCTTATTCCTCTGTGTGTTTCTTTCCTTCTATTTCCTTCTTGTAATATTCGTGACTGTAATCAGTTCTGTCACAATAAGAGGCAATCCTTTGGCAGTTGGAAATCAAAAAGAGTAGCCTGATGGCGCTGCCGAAATTTGGAGTTAAAAATCTACCCAAAAATATTTCAGGATCCTCACCAGAGCTACAGAGCCTGTGCGCTGTGCTGAGCTTCTTCAGACTCAGACTTGAGTTAGAAGAAGAACGGAGCACTAATGGGTTACTACCCGTGTGCCATGATGTTGATCCATTGTTCAAACTTCAGTTGTAATGAATTATATTGGTTTTCAAAAGAGTATTCATCCTTTGGTCTCTAGGCGGTCTATGAGAACCCATACATTTTCTACTCCCATGCGAGTCAACATTTTGAGGACTATCCTAAAGGCAACGATCCAGGGGTGGTAGTCAGGTGCAAGTGGGAAGGTAAGCTGTGGACTTTATAGTTATTTGGAGCCTCTGTAATGTTTAAAAGTGTGGCTTAGAGGTTAGTGAAATTGTTTCACCATCGAGTCAACACACCAGGGTTGGTTACTGTTTGGGATAGTTTAATGAAAAAAGGGGTACTTGTGTTTTGCAGGTAGAGGTCAGAGAGTCACGCTGTTGAGAAGTTTGCAAACCTACCACTTGACCCATGCACCCATAAAAATAATTTTTGAAATTGATCTTTTTCAAAATTTCGTTTTAAAAAAACGCTTTGTTTTAATTCTGTGAAGCTCTACCCTAAAAAACTAGAGGAAGAGAAGAAGACACAGAAAAGGGAATTAATCACTGAATTTAAATATATAGCCAAGAATTAACGGCTTTCGCTCTCTTTGACTTACTTTTACTTTATATTTAAACATAAGACTGTCAAGAATCTTCTCATGCTGTTTTTCTCTACTTTCCTTTCCACAAATCCTGTTTCCCTCTTTTCAAAATAGGGCTTAAACCCAGAGCTGCCAGTAAGAGTTTTGCCAAAATCCAAGTTAATGTTTCCCTTGAACCACCCCCTCCCCCATTCCACATAAAAAATTTAATAGGGGGGGGGGGGGGGAGAGAACCACATCTTGGGTTCTGGCAAAACACCCCCTGACAGCCCTGGGCCGTCTCCTTCTGATATTTGTGATGCTAGGCCCTATAGATCAGTTATAACAACTGACCTCAGATTCGAACACAAAACCTTTGGGATGGTATCCAGACTCCAAGTAACCTCACTGCCATGGCTCGTGATTGCCACTTCCATTGACAGTAAACTGCATTTCTATTGCCGGACTCTAGCAGCTGCCTTATGCATTGAATGTGCGTGTTTGCTATTGGTTTTCTTGAGATTGCAGTTTGTGTCAAGGGACAGCGATGGACATTGTGTGTGATTTTTTTACAGCACAGGAATGGAGTGACCCATCTGGTATTAAGTTGGAATTGCGATTACTTAATTGATTCTATGAGTGCTGTGAGACTAAAAGAATGCTGCTCCCTCTGAGACCAGACAAGTGGAACACCTTGTACGGAGGAAAAGAACATCTTGTGAAAACATGCAAATTCCACTACATGGCATTGGGCCAAAGGGCGAAAGCACATACGCCGCTGGATCAATAGCTACAACAACCAGTATGAGTGCTGGTTCTTTTGTACCACTACGTGGGGTTCTACATCACTGACTGCTTCAGGGATCCAGAATTGCTAGTTTGAACCATGTCAGGAACAAATTCGACCAAGATTTTGCTAAGTAGAATTTTTATCAATGTAAAAACTGGAAAATCTTTCTAAAATGAGGGATCCAATAGTGTAGTCATTCTAACATTTTTAAAAATCCAAACAAGAATGAGAATGAGTCAGCTGAACAAAACCACAACCAGCGATGGAATGATCCTTGTGGATAGGAAGCCTTTATCAGCATATGATACAGCAGGAGAATGATACAGTTACAAGCCAGAAGACATAAAACCATGAATCTTTATGGTGAGGACAGTCACAAAATCTCTCTCCGTCCTAGAACAGTAGAGACTCTGTAACCTGTCTCACAGGGGTGAGATGCTGGATATTTACTCAGAGGAGAAGGATTGGTAGTTAGGCAGGTGGGGATTCTACTACCTTCTGCTCCAAGGAAAAGCGAGTCAGGGTATTCTTTGACTTTTCAGGCTGCTCTGCTGTTACAAAGTCTGCCCACAAGTTGAAAGAGCACATTCGCTCACACACCCAGGCCAAAGTCATTGCTTGCCCAACATGTGGTAGCCTGTTTGCCAGCAACACACGCTTCATTGACCACCTCAAACGGCAGAATCAGGAGCCAGGTGAGTGCTGTGAGCTGTGCGAGCTGGTGTAGAAGGGTGTCCTGTGTGAGGGAACTGTTTGTGAGCTAGTGCAGAAGGGTGTCCTGTGTGTAGGAGCTGTTTGTGAGCTGGTGAAGAAGGGTGTCCTGTGTGTAGGAACTGTTTGTGAGCTGGTGCAGAAGAGTGTACTGTGTGAGGGAACTGTTTGTGAGTTGGTGCAGAAATAAATAAGGGTTGTCTTATATGGAGGGGGGGTGGAGGGTTGCGTCTTATACCTAGAAAAACATTGTACAGTGGTACCTTAGGTCATGCACGTCTCTTGCTATGAACATAGAATCTACTCACGAAAGATATTTCTGAACAAATTAATTTTGGCTCGGCCAGCCACCAGTGCCTCAATGCAGAAACATGCATACATAGCTTTTTTCCCCATGTTTTCGGCTCGCAAATAGCATCCATTTAACCTTTTTTGTTGTTGCGTTGCTCTAGATGCAGTTTTGTTGTCGTTGCTTTTTTGTATTTGATCCTCGTGATGGCTCTAAAGAAAGTGAAAAAGGTTGGTGCTGGTGGTGTAAAGAAACAGACTTTACTTTTGCACAGTGATTTAGTGGCGAAACACAAGGGATGCTAGCGTTTGATGATTTTAAAACAAGTAGAGACTGGTTCGATATATTTCATCAGTCAACTATACGTAGTTCATAGTGTTGTTAGGCCTGTAGAGGCAGATAGTTGGAACAAAACAAAACAAACAAACCAGAAACAAAAAATCAGTAGACGCCTATGTGCAGGGATTTTAAAAATTGTATCAACTCCGAAGTTTACATACTGCATTAAAAAAAAAAAGTTCAACAAGAACAATTATTTTCTGGGGCAGGCGAATGGATTAATTAAAGTTGCACTAGTTTCAATGGGAACAGACTGTTTCAGGCCGAACATTTTGAGTCGTGAGCGCAGTCAAAGGGTGAATCAAGTTCATGACCTGAGGTACCACTGTCTTTGTGCAAACTAAAACAACAACACACTAATGTTATTACATTGTTTTATTTGGTAACATCATAACATAACTGAAATACAAACTAGCATCACATATTATGATCTTCTGTGAAAATCTCAGAGTGGCTTAACCTTTTTCTTGGCATTAACTGGTCGTAATCTGTGGCAGGAAGTAGTGATTGTTCATCCATTTCTGATTTTTGGTCTTGTTCCACGACTTGAGTGTTGCGTGTACAGCCTTTTTACAGATCTGTTTATGTGTTTGGTCGGCATCTGTGGCTAAGGCGGTGGGAAAGTGCTTCATAATGCTGGGTTCGATCCCAGCTGTGGACCATTTGTTTTGCATTGGTTTCGACAGTGGTGCCAAGAGCTGACCATTTAGAAGCAGTGACAGACTATTGAACGTAAAATTTGCCTGGAAACACCAAAAATAATACCAGGGTTGGTTCTGCAATGTCCTGCAAAGAATTTTGCAGACTGTTGGTTCCTTGCCTCTTAGGCAGATGCACTTCAAAGGAAACATTGATTCTATCTATGTTGACCAGGCTTCCAGTTGGGGACTTGCTTCTAGGATGACCGCAGAAAGGTGTAGATAGGTCATGACCAGTTAGTTTCCCTGGTTCTGGTTCATGCACCAGCATATGGGATTCTGCGCCTCTGCATCTCGACTGACTTAACTGGCACCCGAAGAATTTGCTAAAGATGCCTATACCGTTTGTACTCACATTGAAAAAGCGTGGATTTGTAACCTTCAAAGCGGCAGCATTTACAATGTTACATGTTCTGGTCAGATTTCTGTAGTGTGCTGAATCAAAATGTTAACTTTATGAAAACAAACAATGGAGATGTTAGATTAGTAGCTGAACGCACACAGTGCATTGATTTTGACAGAAATAGTTAAACAGTCAGACAGACCATTTCATTTGGCCTGGAGAGAATGAGGCACCTGTGTGTAACCAGTGTCTGGCCAGCTCACTACACTCAGAGGAAAGGCAAGTCAGTCATAATACCAGATTATGACTGGTACCATCGGTATGGGAACTCAGCACTGGCTGCTGAAGATGAGGACGGAACATATATTGAAATGCTCTGCGTGCTGTGATGTTAATTCTTAAGCCAACTTAACCAGTTAATTTGTTATATTTTTCTTTCAATATGTCTTCTTGATGTGACCACTCTTTTGTTCAAAATTGATCACGTGTGTCTGTTATGTTAGCGGCTACGTTGAATTTATATAGGTCTTTGGAATATCAAAATTCTGTAGAATGCTTGATACGACCCTTTTCATGCTAGTGGAGAATTGGCCATATGACATCGGGCTCATGTTTTTAGTGACCAGTGGGCACTGTGTTTGATGGGTTCGCTGTCGCTTCTGTTGCCTTTACTTCCCATGATATGAGGCGGGGAAAGTGGGCGAGGTCAGTTTACAATTCTAGTTAATAAAATGCATTGTTTCGTTCAACATTTGGTTCATAGTAACATTGTTTCTTAGAAGAAGAAAAAATGTGTTAACACTTTTTTTTTAAAAAAATATAAACAGGCATACATATAGATAGACAAGCAGACACAAATACAGATATATAGGCGCATATAATTTTAATTCATAAAACAGTTTGATTTTGATAAAGCATTAATATATTATTTCATAGAAATTTTTATTAAATGCATGAGAACATTCTAGTTAACAGAATGTAATTTCACAGAGAACATTGATTCAGAGGTTACATTGTTCCATAGAACATTTCTGTTTCACAGAATACATTAATTGAAAAATACATTACTCCATGGAACATTCTTGTAAACAGAATGCACTGTTTTACAGAATACATTCATTCAAAGATTCATGACTACACAGCACACTCTGATTACTCTATAGAACAATCTCGTTACTCTGTAGAACAGTCTCATTACTCTATAGAGCAATTCGTTACACTCTAGACCAGTTCGTTACTCTGTAGAACAATCTTATTACTCTGTAGAACAGTTTTGTTATAGACCAATTTGTTACTCTATAGAACAATCATATTACTCTAAAAAATAATTTTTTTTTTACTGTATCTTATTATTGTGTTGATAATCTCATTACTCTATAAGACACTATCATTACTGTATAGAAAAAATTCATGACTCTATAGAACAATTTAAATACTCTATAGAACAATATAATTACTCTATTGAACAAATTCATTACTCTGTAGAACAATTTTATTACTCTGTAGAACAATCTAATCACTCTATATAACGATCTCCTTCATAAAATACCAATATGATCCATGAATTGAGCCGGAGAGACTACATTATGCTGCAGATATAAAACACTTTAGTTCATGGCACCTAAATTGAAATTAAAGCAAAAGACCCTTGTCACACTATCAGGCATATGGTGCTTAACTCATATTTGTATATGCCAGTTGGCACTCGGTGGGTGATGTCGTTCGTATTATGCCTCAGTTCAAACTATTTCCCTGACGCCGCAAGGCATTCCAGGAGTAGAGAACAGAAGAACACAAAACTATTTATTAAAAAAATACATGTGACTGGTCTCACCAGTGATGTATTACAAAACACACGCATCTCACACACAGTATAAACAAAAGCGAACTTAATAAAAGCTTATAAAAAAAAATACATGTGACTGGTCTCACCAGTGATGTATTACAAAACACACGCATCTCACACACAGTATAAACAAAAGCGAACTTAATAAAAGCTTATTAAAAAAAATACATGTTTTTAGAAGGGTTGAGAATCAGACAGGCATCTGACATTCTTTCTGTTATCTCAACAGTCTTTTTTTGAGCACGCTAAGCTACAATGCTCTTTACATTGTAATCACCATCTTCATCCTTTTCATAGCAATTTTTCCATCCCATTCTGTCGTGTGCAATTGTTTCAGAATTGATCGAACCATCTTCATCCTTTTCACAGCATATTTTTCCATCCCATTCTGTCGTGTGCAGTTGTTTCAGTATTGATCAAACCATCTTCATCCTTTTGGTGCCAGGTTGTAGCCAGTGTTGTGTTTTTCTGTATATGTTTTGCGCTTCTTGGGTGGTGGGTTTGTTCATCAATTTGAATGTTTGAGCTACACTGTTTATCCTTCTCTTTCTTGGTCTTTCTCTTCCCTTCTTCCCAGATGTTCTGCTAAAAAAAAAAAAGTCTCATATGCGGTTTGGTCTGCCTTGTTTCCTTTCATGCATATACATTACTAGAGCTGTATCCCTCTTTGGTTCGAGCTGTATCTTCAGGATGTCTTAGAATTCAATATGTTTTTGTCATTGGCAAGAGCTTGGATCGGAAAATGGTAGTAGCTAGAGTAGTAAGGCATAATAAGGTCCCATAGCCATGACGGCAAGTGAAGGTAAAGGAATGGCAGCGACCGAGCCATCAAGCCTCTGTAGTAGAAGGGCTTTGGGTCTGTGGCCAGCAGTGCGTCGGTTATACAGTTGATGATGGATGAGAAGTCAGCTTGAAGGTAGTCTTTGTAATCTGTGGACACAAAAAAATAATGTGTGCTGCAACTGTATGGATAAAATGGTATTGATTCTTCTTCTTCTTCTGCCTTTCTATCCCCCAATGGAGCACAGGCCCTCAGCCAACTCACGCCAAGTCGTTCAATCCTTCGCCATTGCATGGAGCTCTCCCCATGTCCTCCCCATCTTTCTAACTTCATTCTCCAGCTCTCTTCTATATGTGTTTTTTTGGCCTTCCTTTTTTCCTATGTCTCTGTGGGTTCCAATGCAAAGACATTCTAGTTATGCTGTTCTCCTGTTTTCTCAGTGTGTGTCCTATCCAACGCCAGCGTCTTTTCCTCACCTCTTGGTCCACTGGAGCCTGTTTAGTTCTCTCCCATTAGTTATTCTATCATACCATTTAATTCCCTCTATTCTGCGCAGGCAGAATAAAGGAAGAGTAAAAAAGATTTGAGAAATGTCTGGGCAACCACTAGTATCTATCAACAGTTATAAGACAGAGAGGATGGGGCTTTGTTGGACACATTCTAAGAAGAGACCAACAGAGGATCACCA